TGCAATATGATTATAATATTGCAGCGCAATCTTGCTAAAGGCGGACATTTTTATGTTGCTATCATATTGCATCCATATTGCATCTACATTGCGCAATTACTATGCGATATTACAATATTGCATTGAGATATGTTTGCAATCTTTTTGCAATCTTTCTGTGCTGTATGGGAAACAATGTCACCCTACCATCAATAATCCAGAGTCTGATGAAGTATCAAATATCAACATCAATACCTAGCACCAGTAATAGTAGTAATCCAAATTTACGTGGATCCAGTTATCGTTTAATTAGTCCATTTTTAAAAAGAGCTATAAAATATGATACTACGTCAGAAAGAAAAAAGCAACTAGATGAAGCACTGGCTATGATGATAGCCAAAGATTTCCAACCTTTTAATATCGTTAATGATGCAGGATTCAGAAACTTTGTTCAGATTTTAGATTCTAGATACACTCTTCCAAGCAAATATACTATAAAGGGAAACACAATGAAAAATATGTATAAAATAGCTCAAGATAAATTAAAACAAATACTTGAAATACTACAAAGTATGTGGGATTTACAACGGACTGCTGGACATCGCAGGCAACTGAATCGTATATAACTGTAACGTGCCAGTTCGTAGATGAAACTTATGAATTAAAGAATGCATCGTTGTCTACAAGGCAATTAACAGAAAACCATACTGCTATAAATCTAGCAAATACTTTACAAGAAATTTTCGAAGAGTGGGATATTACCGAAAAAGTAACATGTATCGTGACAGACAATGCAAGTAATATGATATGTATGTGCAAAATTTTAAAAAAAGCACTTGTCATGCTGAGCACATACACTAAATCTAACGGTACAAGATAATTTGAATTTAGAGTGTGTCAAGCCTGTTCTACATAGATGTAAGGAAATTGTAAAACATTTTAAAAGTAGTACTAATGCTACAGAAATATTCAAGCAGGAACAAAAAAAGGAAATACATAATGATCAGCCACGTAAATTAATACAAGAAGTAGCGACTCGATGGAACAGTTCATCATTAAATATGATAAGCAGAATTTTACAAACTAAAACTGCCCTCAACCATACTCTTTTGAAACTAAAAAAAGCACCTGCTCCTTTGTCTGTAAAAGAAATAACTATTTTAACTGAAATGGAAGCTTGCTTAGAAAGTTTCGATGAGGCAACAACTAAAATATCTGGAGCCAAATATGTTATGATATCTTTGATTATTCCTTTGACGTACGGTATATTTAATCATCTTAATAATCTATTGTATTAAAAACACTTGCAACAGAAGAAGTCTAAATTTCACAATAGTGGATTATTTTCGATTTTTGGGCGGCATGAATCCATATGAGTCAATGAATTTTATAATACAGAAAGCATTGACGAATTATTTTTGTATGTATCTAACTTGGTCCAAAAAAGTAGTCGGAGATATTAGAACGATATCTATACGTCACACAAAATTATGTGAGGCATTTTATGGTAAGTTATAACACTATTATTTGCTAGAGTCCTAACATTCTTCAAATTTACTTAACATTTTTTGATTAATAAAAATTGTCTTTTTGTTACAGAAGCTCTGTCGGAAAATGTATATTATCCAGCTCTGAATCAGCGAGAATTTCAGAATTGTGTGACGGCAGCATTAAATAATGGAAAACAAAGACATAGAAATACTCGTCTTCAGAAACAGCGGAATCCGCCTACGATATAGCTCAAGAAAACGAACAGGCAAACAAGCAGACTACGACGTTGACAGCTGCATTGTTAAATAAAAAAATAACAAAACTCATATGTATGAATGTCAATATTGTTATTTATTGACGTATTACTTTTATTTTGAATATAATTTATAATCATAATAGTAATTGTTTTTTACTGGTTAGTTGTTTCTATTCTAAACTTCAAAAAAATTCTGAAACAATGTTATAAATTTTAGTTTACTAACAATAAGTTAGGACAGTTTTTTGATTATAAGATTACATTAAGTTTTAATTACATGTAATTTTTTAATTAAAATAAATACGTTTCAGACATGTAATTATCTTTTTATTTTTTTAAATCTCAATAGAAAGCAAATATATAATTAAGAAAATTATTTTTTCCATGTAATTGTCTTCTAATTTATATAGAATTGAGTTATTTATCTGCCACAGTACTGATTTATTATGGAGCAATAATTGATATAGCAAGTCTAATTTTTACCTGTCACAATACTGATTTATTATGGACCAATAATTGATATAACAAGTCTAATCTAAAAATATTACATTCCATTGATACAGAATTGGACAATAATTAAGAATATTTTTTTCTCCATGGAAGTGATTTAAAATTGCTCTGTTCTGCGAATATAGTTAGACCAAATAAATAACTAATTATTCTCAATTATATACATCAGTTTTGCAGAAATTCTAGACACATTTTATCTGGGATTAATCTAATAAAATTATATTTAAATTATTATTATTATTTTAAATTATTATTATTATTTATTTATTGTATCTCAATTTTTCTAGATAATCTACTAATACACGTTATGCAACAATATAAAAAATACATTTATATGATCATTTTAATAATCATCAAGTTTGACATCTTTAAAAAAATACAGGTTAAGTATCGTTGAACTTGAAGTATTAATCTTTGTACATATATAGATTCAGCGTATATTGCATGGAGGTAAGAATATATGGAGGGAGCATAAAGTGTTATTATAGACGCGGGGTATGAAGCTAGTAGGGCGAAGGGAAAGATCCATGACAATGGCCACGTTCAGCAGACTGAGCAGATCAGTGATCGCTTAGTGATTCTTTAATATGATTGAATCTTGCCTTTAGATCTTCGCTGAATCTAAGTGTAGAAACCAATCATATTGAAGAATCACTAAGCGCTCACTGATCTGCTCAGTCTGCTGAACATGGTCAATGATCATATTTTCGTCTATTTTCACGACGCGACACGACTTTAACCGAACGGTGCTGAGATCGAGTGTCAAGGGCTTTATCTTATATCAAATCGTCGTCGCGGCTTTAGAAGACAAAAAAGTTAATAAAAGCAAAACCAACAAAAATAAAAAATGCCAGATTGTTTTGCGATAGGATGCAAAAGTCGAAGAACAAATTCTCGCAAAAATAAAAAGCAACTGGAATGGGAACAATTGCATAGAGAAAAAATATCATTTCACAAGTAAGATTTAATAATCAGTATTATTACAATACCGTATAAAATTAAATTTATATAATCATTAACATACAATGAATAATATTTTGATATGTCTAGAATACCTAAAAATTCAGAGAAACGAAAACTGTGGCTCGAGAAGATGGAATTACAAAACAGTCATGTACCAGAAAATGCATGTTTCTGTTCTCTACACTTCGAAGAAAATGATTTGGATAAGACGCCCAGACGGCACATAATATCATTTGATTGTAGAAAGATATCGTTTCTACGTCATTTTCGTGATATTATGTGATATCACATCCCTGAAATATCACACAGATATTTTTCTAAGAATATTAGTACTGTTTTCTTTCAAGTATATCTCAAAGACATCGCTTAATGTATAGGAAATTTGAATGTAGTGTATTACACTCCCGTGATATTCTTATGGTATTTTTGAAATATTTATTGATGATATCACAAATCTTCGCACAATATATTTTGCGCGAGATATGAAAATCAATTCTTAAGTTGCAATGTATACATTGCACTGCAATATTTTTATTAAATAATAATTAAAATAAATAATAAACAAAATGTGTACAATAGCTCAAGAATAAGTAGATAAAAACAATTATAATTTAGTAAGAAGTAAGTGGTCTCGCGGACTGAGTGCAGGGGCTGCGGATATGGGCTTGCGGAGCAGTGTTGCCAATCTGGTGATTTTCCCGTTAAATCTGGTGGTTTTAATTTTGATTTGAAGGTAAGAATTCATAAATAACGGCTAGCGGGAAATCCAGTGATTCTTTTATTTTTTTAAAGATTTTTTAGTGATTTTTATTTTGGACATACGTTTCTAGTTTCTGGACGTTGAATAGCGTTTTCGAGTGACACTACGGAATCTCAATGAAAATGTTATTCCAGGTATGAAAATGCCGAAAAGTTATAAACAAAAATTTCGCATGGCGTGGCTTGCAGATCCTAACCTAAAATTATGGTTGATACCTGAAGATAATCATGCTAAATGTAAATATTGTAATATTTACTTCTTGTCGTTGAAGTGATTTAAAAAGTCACACTGAAACACGAAAGCATAAGCAAGCAGTTTCTAATGCTGCATCTAGTCAAAAGAAAATAGAGTTTCCAACGATGACTATGAATAGCAAAGTAAAGCTAGCTGAAGTGAGAAATGCTCTATTTATTGCGCAACATTGTTCAATAATGAGTTGCGATCATTTGGTAAATCTTAGCAAATGTATTTTTACCGACAGTGACATAGCAAAAAGCCAGCAAATGCACCGAACAAAATGCAGTGCTATAATAAAAAATGTATTAAGTGAACACTTCATGAAAGAATTAAAAAATGATATTGGTAACAGTCCTTTCAGTTTATTGATTGACGAATCGATAGATTTATCCACGATAAAATTTCTTGGTTTTACTATAAAATACTATAGTGAGAAAACGAGGGATATAGTGTCAACATTTCTTTATTTAAAGCAATTAAAAGATTGTGATGCTGCTAGCATAGTTGATGCTATCAAAGAAACTTTAAAGTTATTTCAATTGAATATAAAAAATCTTAAAGGATTAGGCACAGACAACGCCTCCGTTATGGTAGGAGTAAACAACGGAGTATATAAACGATTAAAAGAAGAGGTTCCTAATTTAGTGCTTATTAGATGTATTTGCCATTCAATACAACTAGCTGTTAGTGCTGCTTCAGATGATGCTTTACCAAGAAATTTAAATTTTCTAATTAAGTAAGTTTTTTTATCTACTAATGAATTATCTTAAAAGTTTGGTATTATTAATTAACTCTTAATGAATTATATCCTATAAATCAATTAACTGTTTAATAATTATTATTTCAGAGAAACATATAATTGGTTTAGTAAATCAGCTGCAAGACAAGAAACATATAAGGAGATATGCCAGCTAATTAACAACGATAAATTATCTCTAAAAATTCCTCAAACTTGTGCAACACGCTGGCTAAGTGTAGAAAATGCTGTTTCAAGAATATGTGAGCAATGGTATGAATTAAAAACACATTTTCAAATAGTCCGATCGAAAGAAAAATGTTACACTGCAGAACTTTTGTACAATATGTATGATGATGATGTTAATGTATTATATTTTTCGTATTTGCAACCCATTTTAGTAGAATTGCAAAGAGTAAACAAGCTATTCGAATCTAATAACGTAGATCCTACAAAACTATTGAACGATTTATTGTTTTTAATTGATAGTTTAGTTAAAAGAATAACAGTTCCTAATACTCGATTTGATATTTTTACGCATAAAATCGAAGATTATGTCGACAATAATGCTTATATGGGTTATTCATTTGATAATCAATGTCAAAAAATGAAGAAAGAAAATTTAGATAACATCATCCTCACTGTAAAAACAAGATGTATCAAGTTTGTAATTAATTTAATCAATCAACTTAAACAAAGACTTTCTGAAAATATTAAAATTTTGAAAAAAATTTCTGTTTTCTCCGTAGAAAACGCATTAAAAGTAAATAAGGAAGAAATCTCAGATATATTAGAGTTATCTGGAGTTTCTGCTTTTAATATTACTAAAATTGAAGACCAATTCAAAAATTTAGCTTTATGCAAGTGGGAAAACACGACTCAAACGATTGCATTTTGGTCTAAAGTTCTACATTTTACTGATGTTGCTGGAAATAATCCTTTTTTAGAAATAGCTACTTTTGTAATTTCACTATTAGTATTACCTATTTCTAACGCAGAAATCGAAAGAATTTTTAGTCATATGAACATTATAAAAAGTAAACATAGAAATAAAATAAATCCGTACATATTGAATGCAATAATGACCATTCGAGCTGCATTTCGTAGAAACAAAACTTGTTGTTACAATTATGAAATTCCTTCAGAACTTCTTACACAAATTCATTCTAATGATACGTATGCTTCTAGAAATTTGGAAGATTTAGATTTTTAAAATTTTGAAACTTTGTTCAATTCTGATATTGTGGAAGTTATTCATTAATTTGAAAAAGTGAAAAAATAGTTTTATTTTTTTAGTATATAATATATGATCTAAAAGAGTATTATTTCCAACAGCATTTTTAATATATAAGTACAGATTTTAAATATATCTGTGATTTATGCATACCAAAGATATAATGCATAATATAATATTAATTTGAAAAAGTATTAAAAACTGTATTTT